CTTTTTCGATTTTGAGAAATACTCATTATCGCCTGGCACTGCTGGTCAGCACAGAATAGTCGTTTTTTACCAGGCACATCAACACAACAGTAACCTCTCAGTGCTGTCTGACAGCTGGTGGCGTATAGAGAAGCATCGACACAACAGTAACCTCTCAGTGCTGTCTGACAGCTGGTGGCGTATAGAGAAGCATCGACACAACAGTAACCTCTCAGTGCTGTCTGACAGCTGATGGCGTATAGAGAAGCATCGACACAATAACAGTCTCTTTGTAATTTTCCACGGTTGCTTAACAACATAAAGTAGTAGCTCATGAGCGTTCAACGGTCGCTTATCGACACAAAAAGCCAGCCAGTGCTGCCTTACGGTCGCTCTGCTCGAGTGAACAGACGCTCATCGACACCGACATGTTTTCTCTGTGATTTTTCCAAGGTTGCCTCATCGACACAAAAACAGTCACTGGGTGCTGCCCTAACGGTCGTTACATCGACACAATAACGACCACCCAGTGCTGCCCTAACGGTCGTTACATCGACACAATAACGACCACCCAGTGCTGCCCTAGCGGTCGCTTGAGTGAAAATAGGTACATCATCGCAATATCAGGCCTCATATCAAACCAAAAACGGACAACCTGTGCCGTCTAACAGACGAGCAGTTTTTTTTCTAAAATTAGCTTTTATACTGCTCCCCCCCCCCCCACGAACTCTTCAGAAATCCTCCTCCCTCCAACTAATACAACAAGCAAACAAACAAACAAAACATCATGAACAAACAAACAAAAACAAACAACCACCACAAAAGGCATGGCACGTATTAATTAGAACAGGTTGAGACAGAAGGGAGATGTACATAAATAGTTCTTATGTGATGAGATGACATAGTGAATAGTCGCGGTACATTGGGTGTTAGTACGTCCGTCCTGAACCTGCAAAAGACGTGCATTGCATACATCCCAACCCCACACGACACGACAAAGCACGTGGCGTGAGTACTACCTCACATTCGCCGACTCGAACAACCAAGCCTCGGGAAACACGGTGCGGACCCGCTCCACAGACTGAACCTGCGCATTCGCAGACTCCATACCGGAAGCTCCGCCCATCTTTGTCATCCTGCGGCCGTAGGCTCTGATATCGTCGTTTGAGTCGACATTTTGTGGCAACCCTCGGAAGGATATTTCTTCCAAGCGATTCACTTATGACACAGTGGGGAGGAAAACTGCTTCAACATAAGAACTATAAAGATCTCTCTCTCTCTCTCTCTCTCTCTCTCTCTCTC